AACTGTTCTTACATCCTCCAAATAAATCCCACTTGATTATGGTGAATGGTTCTTTTATGTATTGTTGAATGCAGTTTGCTAATCTTTTGTTGATGATTTTTGTATTTTTGTTCATCAGGGATACTGGCCGGTAGGTTTCCTTTTCTTCCCTGTAGTATCTTTGAATTTGATATCAAAGCAATGCTAGTCCCATAGAATGTGTTTGGAAACTTTCCTTCCTCTTTTATTTTTTGGAATAGTTTGAGGACAATAGGTATCCATTCTTTTTTAAATGTTTCATGGAATTCATTTGTGAATCTGTCAGGTCCTGGATTTTTGTTTGTTGGGAGTTTCCTCACACCCCCTCCATTACCAATCAATTTCATTACTAGTAATTGGTCTGTTCAGATTTTCTATTTCTTCCTGATTTGGTTTTGGAAGATTCTATATTTCTAGGAATTTATCCATTTCTTCCAAGTGGTCTCATTCTTTGGCATACAATTTTTTCTAATAATTCTAATAAGTCTAATAAGTCTAATAATTCTTTTCATTTCTGAGGTGTCAGGTTTTTTTTTCATTTATTTTTTTTGTCCTCTTTTCTTGATAAACTCTAATTTTCTATCAATTTTATCTTTTAAAGAACTAGCTCTTGATTTTGTTGACCTATTTATTTTAGTCTCTATTACATTTATTTCTGTTCTGATCTTTATTACTCCCTTCCAACACTGGGTTTTGTTTGCTCTTTTTCTAGTTCCTGTAGATATAAAGTAGATTGAGATTTTTCTTGTTTCTGGAAGTAGTCCTGTCTCTACAAATTTCCCTCTTTGGGACACAGCGAAAGCTGTTCTAAGATTTTTGACTGTTGTATTTTCATTTACTTTAGTCTTCAAGTACTTTAAAAATTTTCTCTGTGAATACTTCATTTGATCCATGTCATGTAGTAGTGTTTTATTTGACCTCCAAGTATTTGTGTTTTCCATTTTGTTTTCTTGTTATTGATTTCTAGTTTCATACCATTGTGGTCAGAGAAGATGCATATTACTTCATTCTTAAAATTATTGAGTCTTGCATTGTGGTTTAGCCTATGATCTATTCTGGAGAATGTCCCATGTGCACTTGAAAAGACTCTAATCTTGTTTTGGATGGAATGTTCTGTATATGTCCAACAGGTCTAACATGTCATTTTAAAGATACTGTTGGAGTGCCTGAATGGCTCAGTCAGTTGAGCATCCAACTCTGGATTTCAGCTCAGGACATGATCTCAGGGTTGTGAGATCAACCCCCCACTGGGTACCATGCTCAGCAGGGAGTCTGCTTAAGATTCTTTCCCTCTCCCTCTGCTCCTGCTTGCATGCTGTCTCTAAAATAACTGAATAAATCTAAAGACACTGTTGATTCCCTCTAGCATATATTTCATTTATTATATTCCTAACTCTGATTCTTTTTTATATTTTCTGTTGGCATTTTCACTGAGTTCTTCCATTCTCCTCTGTAGTCTGGCGAGCTTCTTTATGACCGTTACTTTTAATTCTTTATCAAGTAGATTGGTTATCTCCATTTTGTCTAATTCATTTTTTGAGGTTTTGTCTTATTTGGAGCAAATCCCTTTGTCTCCTCATATTGCCTGACTTTGTGTTTATTCCTATTAATTAGGCAGAACAGCTACTTCTAACATTGAAGGAATGGTCTTGTGTATGGTCACCTATGTAGACTGGCTGGTTGGAGTTGTAGCTGGCATGAGCTTGGTGGTTCTGGGGCATTCCATGCTGGGCTTCCTTAATGGGATGGCTAGAACTATAGTGGGCATGGGCTAGGGTATTCCCTCAACTCCATGCAGATGGTGTCCTGGCAGGATCACTAAAGCCAAAGTTGGTTCAAACTGGAGTGTGCTGGGGTTCTCTGCATGGAGGACACCTAGTGGGTTAGGTGGAGGCAAAGAGGGGTGCAGGCTGGGGTGTCCTGAGCACCCTGTGCAGGGACGGTGGCTAGAGCCATGGTGTAGCATGGTCTGGGATATCCTGGGGTGCTCCATACAGTGGGTCCCCTGACAAGAGAGCTGTATCTGAACTGGGTGCATGGTGGGGTATCCTGGAATGCTTAGTTCATGGGATGCTCTGGCAGAGCAACTAGAGCCATGGCTGGTGTGGGTTAGGTTGTCTCAGCATATTCAGTTCAGGGTTTGCCCTGGTCAGGTGGCTACAGTTGAGGCACGGTACAGACTATGAGCTCCTGGGATGCTCTGTGCAGGTGAGTCCTGAAACTCTCTTGAGCTAGGGGTGTCAAACATAGCAAGAATTAGGAGATAAAAAAAACATGTTCCTGGAGTGTTCCACGATGTTTTGTGCTTTTGTCACTTTGGCAGGATGGCTGCAGCTGTAATGAGTGCTGAGCAGGGGTGTCTTGGTATGTGGCATGCTGGAGGCTGTCTTATTTGGATGGCTTGGTCTGGTGTGGGCTAGAGGCCAGGGGCTCATTGTGGCAGTAGGCTAGCTAGGTTGCCTGTACTGTATTCCTGTCCATGCTAACAAGGTGGAGAGGGAATGTAAATAGTGGTGCTCACCAGTACCTCCAGTGCAGAGTTCTTGCTGCTCTCCTGCTGTGTGGTGGTGGTAGGGCTGGATCCTTTATAAGCTAGTTGCTTTTAATTTGTGGCTTTCTTTCTGTGGCCTAGGGCAGATGCATCTGCTCGTAGTTCCTTAGTACTATCCCTCCCCATTGTTATTCGCATTGTTGGGACTGTGGGTTATCTTCATTAATATATCTCCATCTTTCTCGCAGTTATGTGGTTTTTTTGTGCACAAGCTGTTCAGTCAGTCAGCTTTCACTTCTCCTTCAGGAGGAATTGCTCCACAAATAGTTTTATATTTGGTGTGTCTGTGAAAGAGGTGAGTTTGTAGTCTTCCTAAGACATCATCTTGGACTAGTCTCCAATGGGATTTTTAAATTTCTTTCTTCTACTGCATTATAGTATATAGAAATGTAACACATTTCTGCTATTAATTTTGTATAGTGCAACTTTATTGAATTCATTTATCTGTCCTTTGGTGGAGTCTTGGGTTTTCTATAATTAGAAAATATATCTATCTGCAAATAGCGATAGTTTATCTTCTAATTTGGATGCCTTCCCTTTTTCTTTTGATTGCTGCCGCTAGTACTTCCTGCCAATGTTATGTTGAAAAGTGCAAGAGTGGATCTTATTTCTGGTCTTAGGGAGAAGGCTTTTAGTTTTTCACTTTTCAGTGTGACATTGGTTGTGGGTTTTTCATATTTGGTTTATCATGTTGTGGTATGTTCTGTCTGAACCCAATTTGTGGAGTTATCATGAATGGGTGTTATATTATGTCAAATGCTTTTTCTGTATCTCTTGAGGGGATATGGTTTTTAGTCTTTCCTCTTAATGTGATATATCACATTGACTTACTTTTGAATATTAACACTTTTTATTCTAGAATAAATCACTTGATAATGGTGATTTTTTTAATGTACTGGTGAATTCAGTTTGATGCAATTTTGTTCAGCGTTTTTTCTATCTATGTTCATCAGATATGTTGACCTGTAGTTTTTTGCTTTGCTTTTTTTGTAAAGTTTTAGTCTGGTTTTGGTATCAGGCTAATACTGGCGTCACAGAATACATCTGGCTATTTTCCTTCCTCTTCTATATTTGTGGAATAGTTTGAGAACAGGCATTAACTTGCTTAAATTCACCTATGAAGCTATCTGGTCCTGAGTTTTTTTCAATTACTAGTAATGAAATTGAATGGGTAATCAGTTAGTTCATATTTTCTCCCTGATTTAATTTTAGAAGATTGTATGTCCCTAGGAATTTATCCATTTCTCCCAAGTTGTCCAATTTGTTGGCATATAATTTTTCATAGTAGTTTCTTGCGATCTTTTACATATCTGTGGTATTGCTTGTTATTTCTCTTCATGCCAGATTTATTTGGGTCTCTTCTTGATATATCTGGTAAAGGTTTATCAGTTTTGTGTATCTTTTCAAGTTTATTTCCACTCTAATCTTTATTCCTTGCTTTCTTCTACTAGCTTTGGGCTTTGTCTTTTTCTGGATCCTTTAGGTGTAAGGTTAGGTTGAGATTTCTCTTGTTGCTTGAGAATGCTATAAACTTTCCTGTTAGAACTGCTTTTGCTGGGACGCCTGGGTGGCTCAGTTGGTTAAGCAGCTGCCTTCGGCTCAGGTCATGATCCCAGCGTCCTGGGATCGAGTCCCGCATCGGGCTCCTTGCTCATCAGGGAGCCTGCTTCTTCCTCTGCCTCTGCCTGCCATTCTGTCTTCCTGTGCTTGCTCTCTCTCCCTCTCTCTCTGACAAATAAATAAATAAAATCTTTAAAAAAAAAAAAAAAAAAAAGAACTGTTTTTGCTGTGCCCCAAAGATTTTGTACCATAATGTTTTCATTTACATTTTTCTCCATGAATTTTTTTCATACCTTTTTTTTTCATTGACCCATTGGTTTAATACCATGTTGTTGAGCCTCTGTATTTGCATTTTATTTTTGTTTTCCAGTTCTTGTAACTTATTTCTAGGTACTGTTGTGGTTAGAAAAGATGCTTGATATGATTTCAGTCTTTTTAAATTGAGATTTGTTTTGTGGTGTAATATATGATCTATCCTGGAGAATATTCCATGTACGCTTAAATAATGTGTATTCCATTGTTTTTGGATGGATATCTTAGGTCCATCTGGTGTAATGTGTTGTTTAAAGCCAGAAGACCTTAATATTAAAGTAGGATAAAGCTACCTACCTCATCACTGTTCTGAAGATTAAATCATTATAAACATTTATCTACGTACATATGTAGACACCCAAATATATAAATGTACATAGTAACACTTACCTGGATTTTTATATGTATTTCTGGTACCATACCGTGAGGGGAGAAAACCCAATGCCTAAGGTACATATGTTCATGGTGGCATAACTGAATTCAACTGTAGGCTGCTTTTTATATGTTAAAATTATATTGAACTATCATCTTTGACATACAGGCTTCTCTTCTTTTGTAGGTAGTGGATGTAAGTAGAGAAGGCAAAGAAGAAGTATTCTATGGGCCTACACTCCCTTTTGCTTCCAATGGAATAGCTGCATGCTTTCTTCCAGCTCCATATTTCACATGCCCTAACCTTCAGACTCTTCAAGTGCCTCATCACAGAATTGGGACCATCTGAAAGGCAATGCTTTGTTAATAACTATCCTGAACAGAAGAAAAGTTTCATTTTTGGATATTGAGCATGAAAAGACTCAGTGCTCAATTGCTTCCTTGTTTTGTTTTATATGTCTTATATTCAGATAAACATTAGCAAAAAATGAACAGTTTTCTAAAACACATTACTGAAAACTCGTGTCACCCTTCTCTTTGTGGGTCAATATACAATATATATGACTTTTACTGTGGTGTAGCTTAGTACCAACTTAATGGTCCATAATTGTTCCATGGGTCTTTAGAGCCTTCGTGTATACTTTTTCTAAATCAGTGCTGTCTAGGAAAACAGGACAATGTTAGTAAGGAATTTATTTCACAAGTACTGTCCTCAGTGGTCTTTAAAAAAATATTCAGTAGTTAATTTCCTTCCTACTTAAAACCTGGGTTTGTAATTTTTCTTTTAAAAATTTAACATTATGCAGCCCCACTCGGTATAGACTCAGCATTATGACATTATAAAATTTTAAATGCCATATTTTATTCAAGGTAATACGAATAATAGAAGTACATCAGAACAGCAGTTGGAATACCCATATTTTTTGACTTGGTTAATCTGTGACCTTGGGCGAGGGCTTACCTTTCTGTACTTGTTTTTCCACTTTTTAAGGAGGATAATTATTGATTTCCATATAAATTCAGAAGAATTCTGTGAAGATTAGGGAAATGCTAAGTACTTCGCTGAAGAAAAAAAAGTTACTCAAATTACAAGGTATTTTACAGTGTTTAGAACCTCGTAACTGAAAAAGGAGGTTATTTTTGAAATTAAATAATTACTAAATAGAACTTGAAACACATATTATGGAATAAATGATTCGAAAAGCATGTGAAAGATATGCTAATTAGGAAAAGGGGGGTTTACCAAAGCCAAAGATTCCCAAGTCTGTACAAATTTCTTGCTTCAAATAATAATTTAAACTTCTCATTTAAACTCATTTAGTGAAAAATGACATTTAAGCTAAAAAAAAATTAGTTATACTAATTTTGGCACCATAAAGTGCTCTGACATAAATCTGAACCTAGACTTGGTAATTCTAATAAAAGTTTTTCCACTTTGTTAAAGGTTATGTCAATCTTGAGGACTTGTGGGATTCTTTTCCACCACCAATACATATTTTATTACTACAAATTTTTAATAATGCATAAGAATTATTTAGGTGAGGTTTTTGGATTTGCTTTGTCTATAGCAAAAATATACACATAAAATAAAACTCAATCACCTTTGAACATAAATTCAAGAAGTATAACATGAGTTTTTCCCTTTTCTTGTTAGGATCTCAGTCACCTTTATAAAAGGGAAACTTTATGCTTTTTCCTTCAGCATAGTTTAATTATTCAGCAATCTTTATCTTATAGGAAACCGTCCTTTTATTGATGGAACCACTTTTAGTCATCAGAAGTGAATAAAAACAAACACTTTTTAATCCTAAATACAAAATTGACTAATTTTATATATTGTTATACCTAAAATTTTTAATTTCCAAATAATAAGTAATCTGGTTATTCAGATTAAAGAACAGGAGGAGAGACTAGGGGTAAGAAAAAAAAAAGTGAATAAAAAACCTTCCAGAGATTTAGCCAAAAAACCTTGAGTATTTTTATAGTTCTGAAAAGTGCAAATTGATACTGTTCACTGATATCAAAGAGTGTCTTTAAAGGGTATAAATAATGTAAACTAAATATTTTAAATGCCTTACTAAGTCAGGAAAATGACTCCAGTATTTGAGGTAGCTTTCAACAAGAACCAGAGCAAGAAGTATTTCAGATTTACTAAAATTTCTACTTGACAAATGAATTTACTTCCAGCCGTTTTTACCTTATAAAAACCATTACATTTAAAATCCCAATCCTATATCCAATGAATGAAAGGGAAATGGTCTAAAAATAAGCTTGCCTAACTGATAATGGAAAGGTAGCCTGAGATTACTCCTGATATTTTCTGTATAGACTTCCAACTATTCATTTAAAACAAACTGGCATATTATTATCAAATCCCTTCTTGGTGAAATTTAATGTGTTATTCACTAATATTACAGAATTGAATGCAGAGAATTTTAAAGTTTTGCATAGTTTTTGAAAACATCTTTTATGCTGTAGCCAGAGAATAGAATCCAAAGTGCCACATTCCTCTCTGAGGAAAAATAAGATGCTAAACACTTATGATTAGATCATTCTCCTCAAATTATTAAGAGCTAATAAAAATTCTAGAAAACTATGCTTGGTCATATAAAGCAAATTCCATTGAAACTATTCAAATATATATTTTCCATGTAAGTGACCTATCCTTCTTAATTCATCTTCCATTTTTACTCTTCAAAATTATAGAACATATTGTATTTGTAGTAAAATTAAATTTCCATTGGGAGATCATGAAACTTCCACCACCTTAAACTGCTACTTCAAGACTTGACTTTACAAGAGAAGACACAGTACCAGATAAATATTAGAAGAATGTTCCTTTGTGTAGGAGGAAAAGCCAGCAAAGACACTAATCTCTAAAATAATATGTTTGTGAAGTACAATGAAATTCCTTAGAACCTTCATAACAAAATACCTACTAGGTTGCGATTAGGATATTTTTCCTGCTTTTTCTCTTCATATTTTCCACACGGTTTAACCACATGTATACCGTATCCTTTCCAGCTATTGCAATAACTGAAAAACTCCCTATTGTTTTACCACAGAATATAAAACAGGAATAAGATAGAAATTATTCCTCCAGACAACATGGTTCATTTTTATTTTGGTTTTCAAATAGTCAATCTATCATAAAAAAGAAGCGGAATAATCATGGATGCAGTGTAAATTATATACATTAAAAAGGTATATACCATTATTATAGACATAATTAACTTATAAACATGAATATACAATAAGAACGTCCAGAAAGCACAATTCACAAATGCAATAAGTTGGAGAACTGTTAGCACACCACGAACTTTAACAAGCAGATTATTCAGTTCTAATCATGAGGTACTTATTTTGGAAACCTTAGCAATATAGATTATCAGAGAATCAAAATACAAATCTTATATCTTATTAAATATGTGAAAAAATATGCTAACTTTGCTAGCTTCCCAAAACAACTGTTTTAAGCGAACAAAGCATGGCATTTATATTGGCATACTATACACTTGACTGACAAGGTAGTATTTTTAACCCTAAAAGGAGCAGGCAGGAGATCAGTTTTTGGAAAATATAAGGTTTACATAAACTTTATAGGGATTTAGGGAAGATAGGTTTCCTACAGGTCTTTCCCAATTGCAGAAGTTTATCAAATTTTTATGTAACAGATAATCCTAACAAAGGGGAAGTAAAAATGAAAACTGTCAAAGATTCTGTTAAAGTACATGTAATTCTTTAAGAAGGAAGTAGTTTTAAAAATTTGTGATGAAGTATGGAAAAAGATAATGGGTAAAGAACACACAACCTGCAAATACTTATTTTTTTTAATATAGATTTCCAGGTAGAAAAAGTCAAATATGTTTAGGAAAAAATATGCTAGGAATAGATAAAGATATAAAAGTTTTAAAGTATGAAACTGTTCTAATGCAAATGAATTCAATACTGAATGATTTTTGTACAGAGAGCATATCCCATATTTTTTACTCCCCCATGAAAACCTAATTAAATGTTCAATTAAAATTTAAATCATAACCAAATCTGAATATCTAATAAAGTCCTTCTATCATGCTGTTGTCCTTCAATCATCTCTTTTACATTTCATCTGTATATTTTACGAAAATTATTTGACTGGAATACTCATGTATCTAAAATATATTTTAACTGTCTTCCTATTTCAGTGACTTAAGGTTAGGTTTCTAGAGAAAGGGTAGTATTTTACGCTGGCAAACTGAATGAGGCTCAGAGTGTAGAATGAACGTGGCAATCAGATATTCGAAGGCAGTCTAGTCCCCTGCCTGAGTTAAATTTGCACAGAAAAGGTAGAGTCAGATAGCAGAATGTCTCCTGACTGAAGAGCTTATATATCAGCTTACTGACACTAGGAATTAAGTGGATGTCCTTGAGTAGAAAAGTAACAGGAGGAAAGTAATATTTTAGAAACACTAATGTCAGAACTGTGTGAGGTTAAATTGTAGGAAAGGAGATCAGAGATAAGGAGATAAGGAAGAGATCAACAGCAGGCAGTAGAAAAAACGTTTCAGATGCACGGAAGGCAAAAAGAAAAGAAGAGCAAAAGTCTGTACTGGTGATCAACTGAAAGTGGGGAACAAGTAAGAATCCAAATTGCTTTTGAAGTTTCAGGGCTAAATGACGTGGGAAAATAGTGTCTTCCCTGGGTGGAAAAGAAAGGCAGGAGCTAGTTTAAAATAGGCGACAAGCGCAGCTCGACAAGATGCCTTGAGATTTCTGGAGGATCCAACTAGAGGGGTTTAGAGAGAAATTAGGCTCATGTTATCAAGTCCCAACTGGAAGAATGTTGAGACAGAGCGAATGAAGGGCCAGATCTTACCACTGGGGACAAGAAAGAACATGATGGTACTTGCAAAGTACAGTATGTAGGAAGGAGCAGTATCACCGAGGAAGGGCTGAGAAGATAAAGGAAAATACCAATGTCAGGTCAAAGAACATGACAAACGAGAATATAGTCTCAGATTTCAGCAAAAGAGAATGGCTTACATTACAGTGGGGGAAGCAGCAGCCCTAGAGATGACAGGTTATTTAGGGGATTAAATGATGGGTCAGTGAAGATTTTAAGGAAATGAACTAAGTAAAAAAAATTTTTTTCTTCAACTTAAAAAGACAGCATCTTTAAAATTTTACTTATATATAAATAAACACACATGTATATACACATGTAAGTATCATCATGGATTTTTTTTTGGTTGTTACTTATTTTTAAAGTACAAACTATTTATTCTTAGGGTCTGCAGCTATATATCCCAATGCATGATTCAGAAGCAGCTTTTCTCAGCCTTAAACATTTCATATTCTAAAGAGTGAGATTCTCAAAGACATCAATCTCACTTGGAAAATAAAAATATATATATATATATATATACATATATACACACAAATAACTCCTTTAAAAGCATCACTTTAAACAGATTAAACTTCATTTGCTGAAACTTGCAAAGTGATATAAGTTTATAAGGCACTATCATAATGAAAAGAAACTCATTGCTATGAAGTCTATTAAGTTACTTTACTTAAAGAGGGTTTTATTCATTCTATTTGTTGACATAATGACAGTTGACCTGGGGGTGGGAGGGACAGACTATCTGTATGTCATGAAAACAACAGATACTCCTTTAGGATTCATAGATAAAAGTTAGGAGAGGACTAATAACTAGAGTTCACTGATTGTAATATATTTCATT